CGATCACATCGCTCATCACTTGTTCGTTGGGGCCCCATTCTGTGCGTATGTTTGCTGTCGCCGATATGCCGGTTGACTAATCTCGCTGGCAGTCAACGGCCCGGAGATCACCAAATATGTCCGTGCAGTCCTCAAAGACGACTATAACTACGACTCCACAGTATGTCGTCGTGCGTTACTTCCTTCCGCTGTCCTAATTCACATCCAGAACTCGGCATACGCCCTGTGGCGCTCCTTCACACAATGCCTCTTCGTGGAAGATGAGCACGAGGCTGGTGGTATCGTGTTTTACAAGAACAAGCATGGCGAGCAGGCGCGCCAGTTGGCACCAGATGCTCTTGGAAGGTTAAGAAGCGCTCAGCCGAAACACCCGAAGGAGGACCCATCAGAGTCGGTATCATAACGCTAGCATCGACGGCTGTCGTTAACTTATTCATCTGTATTCGGATGGGATAGACTTGTTGTATGATACACACAGCATATGGAGACCTTTTAACCAAGAAGAGATCGTACGCTGCAGAATCCTATCATACACGGTGCGCCCTCTCAGCAACGAATCTGACGATTGTCGAAGCGACAAGCAATGGCTTCTCCCAAAAGAGCATATGCCCAGTCCCAGGAACGGCAAGCAACTCGGCTTCCGTTGCATGCGTCGTGACCTCTTTCTCCACGACGCTTCCCTGCGTCAACTTGTCATCCGTGCCATACATTACGAGCACCGGGATCCCGGTCGCCAGCAGCTTTTGGAGCGGCGCTGGGTCCTGTTCGCGTGTGAGAGTGAGGCCACGCATCTCGTTGGGTTGTAACGCCATTGCACCGGTCAAGAGACAACGAAGGTGATATGGTGGTGTGGGGTTGGTTGTTGACGTGATGCAGGCGTCGGCAAAGTCAACGAGGGCACTAAGCAGGGTGCTGGGGTCACTGCATCCTTGGATAGCAGCGCCCAAAGCAGGTGCAGCCGCCGTACCGAGGATGACGCCTTTGTGTGGCGCGCTGGCCAGGTAGAAGATCCCAGAGAGGGTGTACGGAGGAAGGTGAGCTGCGATATCAGCGCTGATGATACCTGTTATGGGTTTAGGCGTTTAGCACTGCGCCGGGGATGGGCAAAAAGAAGTCACCGTACCGCCCATGCTCCTGTGGCGCGCGTAAACCATGACATGTGAGCCTCGTGCTAGCACAGATTAGGTAAGGAATGGAAGGCGAACTCACCAACCGATCAGCGTTGGCTTGCGTAGTCCGAAGGCCTCGACAACGGCTTTGAAGTCGTCGGCGTAGAGCTTTGAAGCATGGCCCTCGGGCGTCATGGGCATACAGCTCCGTCCGTGGCCTCGAATATCGTAGCGGACCTGTATGCATCACGATCGTAGTCAGATAACGCGTGCACAGGCAGTCAGGAAGCGCGTACGATATACAAGTTCTCGAGAAGTTTCGGTGTAGCGCAGAACTCGTCAAAGACGGCGCCGCTAAGTGCGAGCCCATGTAGGAGTACAGCGTGAGGCTTGGATGGATCGCCCGTTGCCTCAGCGTAGATCTGCTCTCCGTCAGAAGAGAGCACGATCTTGGTGTCTGTAGCCGGAGGGGGACGCGTCGAGTTGGATGATGAAGAGCCCATTGCTAGAGGAAGGAGGGGCCGAGGGGAGTCAATTGCGCGATACAGTGGCAATAAAAGCATCTAGGGGCTTTATACCGATCCGGCCATCAGACTCCAGTCAACCGCGCTAGAATGATTGGCAGGAACGACGTCGGTTGTTGTGTCTGAGACGCGCTTGATCGTCCAGATTGGGCTCAGATAGCTGGAAGCCGCCCACACGCTCGGCGCCGGCCTCTGTATAGTACAGTGCAAAGCAGGCCGTGCATATCGGCTTTCGCGTTTTGAGTCAAGTACCCAGCGTGTGTACACAAAGTTCGAACTAGTTCTCAGTCCGACGTGCACGGCGCGAAGCCTCAATCTTCGGACTATTTAAATGACTGGGCGAAACGTACATCTGTCATAGGAAGGGCTCAGAAGGGCTATAGGCATATGAAGTAGGGGCGTACCCATGCGTCTCAAGGAGCGATGCCGTGCCGTATGAGATAGAACGAGCGTCTCCCATAATGCTGTATCATGTGGCGTTACACAAAAGCGTAGAAAATAGATATTGGCAACCCCTCAAAGGTAGATGAGCGTCAGGAGGAACTGCGCAACCGGTGATGGCGCCTGCGGCAATCAACCGGAGCGTGACCGCGTTGAACGCGTGCTGAACGCGTCGCGACGCGTCGCGCCTCACCGTTGTTCCTGACCACGATGTCTCTCCAATACAGCAAGGAAAAGGACGAAACTGGTGAACATGCTTGCTACGAATATGGTAGCGCGTTAGCTAAGCCGCAATATAGAGGATTACGACCCGGGCTTTATCTCTTTCTTCAACTCCTTGCCACCAAAGTCTCCAGAAACTGGCACCGTGCGCCTCTTCTTACGCAAAGGCAGCCCCGACGACTACTATGCCGCATACTCCGCCGACGCGAAATACATAGCGCAACAAGTATTCCATACAAACTCGGTCCTCAAGTACCTAGGCGCTGGTGCACGTGCAGATAAAGGGCTGGCCAGCGTCACTCTCAAGCCGACACTTGCGGCTTCGTTTCTGCGTGAAGCTCTCACCAGCAAGCAGCTGCGCGTCGAGATATGGGTGCCCGAAACCGCCGGTCGGAAGGTGTCCAAGTTCCGACTGGACAAGGAAGTGCGTTCATCTCGTGTATGGGCGCTTAACCGCAGCCTGATTCGTGGCATAGGCGTCCCCGGGCAACTTGCAGCAAGTCGAGGACATGCTGTTTGCCGATACAGACATTATATCTGCACCGATGGTCATGGCGCTTAAACTTGCCAACACTGCACCCGTGCCCGGCGCATCCGCTAAGGAACGCAGTCGCACGATCGGCGTCGCATTCGCTGACACGAGCGCGCGGCATTTCGGCGTGGCTGATTTTGTCGAGAACGACGCCTTTTCAAATACGGAAGTGCGTTTCATCTATCCCTTAGATACCCGCCGGTCACCCTTATCTGATGATGCGCGTAGACCCTCGTTATTCAACTGGGTATCAAGGAGGCGCTTGTGCCGACTGGGACGCAGTCGGGTAAGACGGACCGCGACATAGACTTGAGGAAGCTCAAAGAGGTACTCGAGCGTTGTGGCGTTGTGATAACCGAACGGAAACCGAGTGAGTACTGCCATTCGCTGTGCCCTTCATGCCCGAAATGTCTGACCCGTATTCAGCGGATTTCATGACCAAGTCCGTCGCGGATGATCTCAAACGTCTGCTCGCAGACGCCGGATCTTCCTCGTCCGCCGATGCTTCAACTGTCATTCGTGCGTACTCTCTCGACAGGGTGTGACTCCGTACCTGACAATTCTTTGCAGCCCAACTTTCACTACCGACTGCGCCAGGCGCTCTCAATGCTGTCATTCAGTACTTGAGCCTCACAACTGATGCCTCCAATCATGGTGGATGGGCAATCCGGACTCATGATCTGAGTCAGTATATGCGATTGGATGCCAGCGCTCTCCGCGCCCTAAACCTTGTGGACACGGGTTCAGTACGTTACCGAGTGTACATTACATGTAGCAACACGAGCTAACTCTTTCGCAGGGCAGCGGAATGAAGAACACGACGCTACTTGGTCTTCTGAACCGTTGCAGAACAGCGCAGGGTACACGTATGCTCAGCAGCTGGCTCAAGCAGCCCCTAGTCAACCTTCATGAGATCTGTACGCGTACTCTCACTCTATCCCCGTAGCATCGCTAACTTTAGCCTGTACAGTAAAGCGTCAGGACCTGGTTCAAGTCTTTGTGGAGCAGTCAGACTCGCGCCGGACGCTCCAGGAGGACTTCATGAAGCTCATGCCCGACTTGACACGTATCAGCAAACGCTTTCAGAAGGGCGCCGCGTCACTTGAAGATGTAGTTCGCGTGTACCAAGCCGTCCTCAAACTTGCTGGACTTACGGAGGCGCTACGCGCAATCGAGCACTCCTCTGATCGCGCCAAGGAACTCATCGAAGAGACGTACCTCGCTCCGATGAGGGAGTACAATACCTCGTTGGACAAGTATGCGGAGATGGTTGAGCAGACGCTAGACCTATCCGAGCTTGAGAGGCATAATTATGTGATCAAGCCAGACTACGATGATCGGTTGAAGGAGCTGGCGAAGAAGCTTACAGCTGTAAGGGATGGGTTGGACGAAGAGCATGCGAACGTTGGCGATGAGCTTGGGCTCGACCTCGACAAGAAGCTGCATCTGGAGAACTCACAGCAGTATGGCTATTGTTTCCGCTTGACGAAGAACGTACGTGCCTTGTTCTGCCTGCTCGCATTTGAGATGCTCACGTTGCTCCCTGCAGGACGCTCGTGTCATCGCGAACAAGAAGAAGTACGTCGAGCTTGGGACGACGAAAGCCGGCGTCTATTTCCGAACAACAACGCTGCGGGACCTCGCGGAGGAGTATAAGGACAACACAGACGCATATAGTCGCACTCAGGCTGGTCTTGTCAAGGAGGTTGTATCCATTGCAGGTATGCGTGTCAGTTTCGTCGGCCGTCCGTACAGGTTGTTCATACTGCCCGACAGCGACGTATACACCGGTTCTTGAATCGCTCAACGTTGTACTCGCCCACCTGGACGTGATCCTCGGACTGGCACATGCAGCCGTGAACGCGCCAGAAGAGTATATCAAGCCCAAGATGCTTAACAAAGGCGCAGGCGACTTCATCTTGCGCGATTCGCGTCACCCGTGCCTTGAGGTACAAGACGAGATCAGCTTCATCCCGAATGACATCGAGATGGTCAAGGGCACCAGCGAGTTCCAGATCATCAGTACGTTATATCTCTTCTACCTTGTTACATATACTGAAGCCGTATATAGCGGGCCCAAACATGGGCGGTAAATCAACGTACATCCGTCAAGCAGGCGTGATCGCGCTCATGGCACAGATCGGCTCGTTCGTGCCGTGCTCGAAAGCGCAGATACCCATCTTCGATTCAATCCTGTGTCGTGTTGGCGCTGGTGACAGTCAGCTGAAGGGCATCTCGACGTTCATGGCTGAGATGCTTGAGACTGCTACCATCCTGAAGGTATGTTCTACCTCGAGCTGCGGCTGAACGACGCTGACGATAACTCCGATGTAGTCGGCAACTAAGGACTCGCTTATCATCATTGACGAGCTCGGCCGTGGCACATCGACGTACGATGGCTTCGGTCTGGCATGGGCCATATCTGAGTACGTTCACTAGTACTGCTTCCCTTCATCGCGATACATACTGACACAACACCCACAGAAAGATCGCAACAGAGATCCACGCGCTCTGTCTCTTCGCAACGCACTTCCACGAGCTCACAGCCTTAGCCACGGAGGTTCCACACGTAACGAATCAACACGTCGTCGCGCACGTCGACTCTGCCGGCGCAAAGCAACAGGACATCACACTGCTGTACAAGCTCGCGCCTGGACCGTGTGACCAGAGCTTCGGTATCCACGTCGCGCAGCTTGCCAATTTCCCCGAAGAAGTCGTACAGCTCGCACGGCGCAAGGCGGCTGAGCTCGAGGACTTTGGAGGTGCTGGTAAGGAGGGCGATATGGACGTGGACAGCCAACAGGAGTTGCCGGAAGAGGTTGTGGAGGAGGGCGTGAAGCTCGTCGAAGAACTGCTCAGGAAGTGGTCTGCTGCGAAGGGCGCGGATGGAGAGGATGTGGTTATGGGCGATGAAAGCGAGGAGGACGTTGATGCGCAGTTGAAGGAGCTTCGAGCGTGCTTTGAAGAGGCGGGACCGAGATTACAGGAGAATGCTTGGGTGAAGAACTTGCTCGCGTCGCTATCATGAGCGGGTCGCGTCGTCGATGTTGTGCGCTGTCGGACTCTCACGTCTTGGATCTCTTGCACGCTACTGTACTTGCTGTGATTAGTTGTGCTCTGTGTATCTTGCTATCTTTATCACAATGCTTTGCTTCCGTATCGGCGTATCACGTCCATGGTCACATCCATTGCGTAACGGGGATAAAGGAAGGACGTGAGATGATTGAGCATCCAACATAGCATCTATGATAAGGAAGCAAGTTCGACAACACAGCGTAGGTTGAGCGCGAGATGATATGGTGAGATAGATTCAAGGTCAGGAGTCTATCTGCATATCCTGCTGATGAACCTGGTCCGGAGGGAGAAGAGACCCGTCCTCTGCCGTCCCAGCTTTGACGTCGAGACGATACTGCGCGCAGATCTTGGCCGCTTGGCTCACCGAAATAAGCTTCAGATGGTGAAAGTCCTAAACCAGTCATACGCGAATCAGTACCGTATAGAGTGAGCAATCACAAGTAGGCATACAGTGAGGTATTGCGTCAAGACTTTGATCCCGACCATGTTGTATATGTGATGCCACCAAGTGTGCACGAAATCTGCAATGCACTTTGCCGGATCGACGTACATTTCAACTCTAGAGCCCATCGGGTCAGCTATGCTGAATGTCGAAGTACGTGAAGGAAAGGGAAGAGACATACTCGTGCAACAATGCCCAACGATTGTGTAGCGAATGCATACACTTCCCAACGTCGCTCAAGCCCTCGCTCTCCAGTATATGCGCCTCGGTTTCTTCAACTTGCCAACGCATAAGGCCGTATGGCTTCAATGATAGCACCTGGAGGTAGTCGTAGATACGCGGGCCACCGGGGCGGCAAGAATAGTAGATCAATCCCCCATCTTCAGTTGGAACAGGCGATGTGAGGTAGGGTGGTTGGATGTAGGGGTCCAATGGTATGCCCGTCAGACGCTCGCGCTTGATTGCGGAACGAGGGACTGGCGGTGGGGGTAGAACGGGGGATACGACGATTTCGGGGTGTACAGGTGCGGGAGAAGGTTCGCGTTTGATCGGCGTGGACGGAGCCGGTGTGGATAGAGTGACGCTCGTACGAGCCGGAGATAAAGATGACGACGCGATGCTGTCGGTCTGCATGGTCTCTGGCGTTGCAGAGAGATCGGGGTCCGGCTTTGGTTCGGTCTTGAGTCCAGTACGGAGCGTATCATAGCCCATCGCTGATTCATCATAGTAAGTCGTAAGACATTCTATCTCCGATTCAGTTGAGCGGGGATAGATGAACATCTGAGGGATTCTGTTCGCCTGTAACATGGATGGAAACAGATGTATATGAGCGTTCGGCAGAAGTAGAGATGGAGATATTGATGGAACGTACCCCAACACTTCGCCAATGAACTTCAAGATCACGGTGATGCCGTGACATATGTAGGCCCAGTATAGCATTGTTAGGCAAAGGTATATCGTAGAGCACACAGCCTTTGTACGCGTCCTCGTACGCACAAAACATCGGGCACCGCCATCCTCCCCGAACACGCACGACGCGAGGTTTCTCAGATGTATCGACGGGCCCCTGGAGATCATAGTCGTACTCCGACTTGAAAAAATTGACCATATAAGCATCGTAGAGCGGTGGTTCCACGCCGACTCGGCTTCCAATTTCATGCGCTTTCTTGATGAGGGATTCTACGATCTTGCCAGCATGGGGTGAGGGTCCTGGGGCGTTTGAGCCGGTCTTGACGTCCATGTGTGTGAGCTTGGTGACTAGCTCGTCTTCGTCGTGCGACGATGGCTCGCTCATCGAAATAGGACTACTAGACTCTCCGCCCGAGTCTGTAGTGTCTGAGATATCATCGGACGACGAGGAATATTCGGTGCCGTATAGTGGCGTCGGGCTCTTCATAGCAGCTTTGCTGTACGATGTGTGTTCAGTGAGTGAGAATATATGTACTACGTGTGAAAGTACTTACCCGATGCCAGGTCTTTTCACTTTGGACGTTGAGGTAGATGACGTGTCTTGAATGTGAGATCAGTGCCACAACGGCGAAAAGTACAAGTATATGATTCACGGGGAGCGCTCGTAGTCTTCATCGCCGACTGACCCAGAGATACAAGTCATCACCAGTTCTCGAAGTGTAAGCGGAGAAGTCACGAGTTACCTTGCGTCCAGTATTCTTCCTCATTAGCGTAAGCCTCTTACGAGGAGGCGAAACGGAGTGTAACTTGTTCTCATCCGAATCACTGTCTGCAGGATTGTGGTGACTGCGTCGTTCACTCGGATAGTCAGGAGGCCGGGCGGTCTTTCGTGCCGCTTGGGGCCTTCTCATAGACATTATGTGGCAGGCGGTGGTGCGGATGAAAGGACTGAAGAAGTCGTGCGCGTTGAGCGCTGAAGTCGCGTTGCGCCACGCGGCGGGCCGGGCGCTTTGAAAGTTCCCGCGACGCGCTTCGCAGCACTTTCGCAGCTTGCTCTCGACCACAACGCGCCTTTAGGCTGACCGTCGTCAGGTATAATAAGTTGGAGAGCAAGTCTGAACCTTGCACGTTGCAGTGCACCATCCCTTCGTAAGTAAATAGAATAAAAGTACTATCATCTGTCCTCTGACTTATTCTAGGTTCTGGACTCCACACATCTAAGCACGTATGACCGGTGCAACCAAACGCGCCGCGTCAGGGTCACCGGGCCCGGAGAGGGCAGCGAAGAGACAACTCACGTCTTCGCCTGAAGAGGGAGAATTGGAAGATGGGTCGCTACCGGATAATAATGAACTACCGCCGCCGCCTATGCCGACTACCCCGACGGTGGAAAGTTCAAAGCCGCGGATGGGCAAGCCATTACCGTTCAAGATCAAGAGGAGAACGGCAGAGCCTCTGCCACTATCTGCCGAGCCAATGCGGATGCCCGTGGCCTCCTCTTCGTCTTCGACTCGGGGAGACCATTGGGAGCCAGGAGCACGGGTGGAGGACAGGCGGTGGGAACCCCGTCCGCGCCGGCGGTCACGATCCCGGGACTCGCGCAGACGCTCATCGCGCTCGCCAAGTTCCCGGTCGCGGTCAGGGTCGGTCTCAAACTCGCCGCAGGAGCGTCGACACCGTCTGCCGACACGGCGCGCGGCGTCACCTCCCAGGCGACAATATCACGACTCTTACCCGTCGCGGGGAGGTGTGGACCGGTACGACGGACGGCGCGCGGGGAATTATTATGACGGTGGTGGAGATGGATATGACGGGCGCTCGTACGCGCCGAGATACGACGAGCGCGGGTGGGGAGGTGGCGCGTACGGCGGCGGCGCTATGGACTCGTATCGCCCAATGTCTCCCCGGTACTCGGCCCGGGCAGAGGTGGACAGCTATCGACCCGTATCGCCCGGTGCATACCGACCCGTCTCGCCACGTTCTCCACCAAGACACCGCTCTCCTGCTCGGCCACCCTCCTCCAAGGGAAGACCGCTTTCGCCACGCGACGATGCACCACCACCTCCGCCTAGAC